GCCACTGCACTCCAGTCTGAGTGACAGAGTGAGACTCCAACTTAAAAAAAAAAAAAAGAAAGAAAGTAAGCAGGCTCTAACTATGAATATAGGTATTATCCTCTCCACCCCAAATACAGGGTGATAATTGATAAAGGTTGTAACGTGCAGCTTCTAAGGAATCATACCAAACAAAATTAATCATTGGAAAGGGTTAAAAAAAGTGAAAGGCAGGGGGAGAGATTCAAACACAAACACAGCTATTAAAAAGTAATTCCATCACTAGAATGCACACCATATAAATTCCTCTTTTTACTACAATGGGCCTCAAGCTATGAAGAAAATAAGCTAAGCTAACCTGAGTTAGAAGTAACTCAATAAAATAAAAATAAACATGAGTAAAACCTTTCTGTTCTTTTTTCCACTTAATCCTTAGTTCATTCTCTGAACAGCAAGTCAAACGTAGGCCTTATGATATGATGGTCTACTTGTTGGCATGTCTAGGAAAGTATAAAGGCAGGGATTCAGTGCCCAAGCCCCAGAAGAGTATCGTAGTCCTCCTTACATCATCCCCTCATCTAGGTATCTTAACGTGTTGCATTCTTCATGGGTAGGAAATATGGGCCAGACCAAACATTTAATAAACTAACTGACTGCCTACTATGTGCTAAGCATTGTGCAGGGTATTGGAAAGAATCAAGGAAGATACTGGGAAGGAAGAAAGAGATATTTAAAAATGATAAAACTATAAAATATAGAACCCATAATAAATTCAGTATTTTTTTTTTTGAGAAAGTAGGATTTATTGAGAGGACAGAAAAGCTCCCAGAGCAGGAGAGGACTGAGGGAGTTGCCTAAATTCAACTTTAAAAAGTACGTAGCCTGGCCTGTAATCCCAGCTGGGACAGCATAGTGAGAACTCAACTTTATGAAAAAAGAAAAATTAGTTGGGCATGGTGGCATATGGCTGTAATTCCAGCTACTTAGGAGATTGAGGCAGAAGAATCACCTGAGCCCAGGTGTTCAAGGCTGCAGTGAGTCCTGACTGTATCACAGCACTCCAGTCTGAGTGACAGAGTGAGACCTCGACTCAAAAAAATAAGAAAATACAAAATAAATAAATAAAAAGTGCTTAACTCATCTACCACAACTGATTCAAAATTTCTAATGGAGTAGTCTAGGAACTTTTGACAAGTGCTTCCAGGAATGAAACATGCTGCAGGATAGAAAAACTCAGATATGTCTAAAAATCACTTCCACAATTGTAATAGGCTTTGATTTCACGAATACTAATATTTGCTTTTTGAATGATAGGAAATCCAGAAGAAAATAAAACAAAGTACCTGATAAAAATAGCTTTATCTGCAGGGACAAGTATACATAATTTATAATGGGTAAGTATATACAATTTGTACCTGAATATTATGCAGGCTTGGGAATGAACCTTAGATAAATAGTAAGACAGATCCATGCTGAAGGGCAGGACATTGATGTAAAGTCCCTAGAGAAAAGGAACTTTCTCATATTTAAGAATACTGGATCTTAGCTGGGCGTGGTGGCTCAAGCCTGTAATCTCAGCACTCTGGGAGGCCGAAGCAAGAGGACTGCCTGAGCTCAGGTGTTCGAGATAGCCTGGGCAACTTGGTGAGATCTCATCTCTACAATAAATCAGAAAGCTGGGCATGGTAGCGTGTGCCTGTAGTTCCAGCTATTTGGAAGGCTGAGGCTAAAGGATCACCTGAGCACAGCAGGTCAAGGCTGTGGAGGCTGTGAGTGTGCCACTGCACTCCAGCGTGGGCGACAGAGTGAGACTCTGATTCAAAAAAGAAAAAAAAATACTAGATTTTAAAAAATAAAAACTGGTGAAATACAAATACAAATAAAATCTAGAGTTTCAGCCTAGGTGTGGTGGCTCATGCCTACAATCTCAGCATTTTGGGAAGCCAAGGCAAGAGAATTGCTTGAAACCAGGAGTTTGAGACCAGCCTAGGCAAATAGTGAAACCTTGTCTCCACAAAAAAATTAGCTGGGTGCGATGGCATGCACCTATAGTCCCTGTTACTGAGGAGGCTGAGGTGGAAAGACAACTTGAGCCCAGGAGGTCCAAGCTGCAGTTAGCTGTGATCTTGCCACTGCACTCCAGCCTGGGTGACAGTGAGACCCTGACTCAAAAAATAAAATAAAATGAAATTAAAAAGTCTGGAGTTTCTCTCGTTAATAGAAATGTACTAATGTCTGGTTTCCTAGTTTTGACAAAAGTATTCTGATAATGTAAGATAACACTAAGGACCAATTCACCCTGGGCAAGGGGTATATAGAAACTCTTTGTACTATCATTGCAACTTTTCTATAAATCTAAAATTATCCCAAAATAAAAAGTTTATTTAAATAATATGTCATGAGTACAGCAGAAGGTAAACAATATTTTCTTCCTAGGTTTAAGAAGTTTATTTGAGTTTCAGTTAGAATCAGTCAATTTAAGGAGGAAAAAGACCCAGAATTTGAGATGGTATTAAGTTGATACTCATGTTTCAGGAATGAAGTCACAAAGAAACATTTCACTTAGAAACCCTCAGGAAAAAATAAAGACACATATACACCAAAAAAGAGATAATAGACTTACACAGATATTCAAAAGTCAAACAATAACATTTTATATCTTATGTATTAGAATTAAAAGTCTAGTCTATTTTTAGACTGAAGATGGTAGAAGCACCCCAAAGAAGAGAATTATGCGGGGGATGGGACTCTTTGAACTTCATTATATGGGAGGTGAACTAAATGAAGATACAGTTACAAAGAAAGCATTTAAGAACTACAATAGGGGCTGGGCTCGGTGGCCCAGCCTGTAATCCCAGCACTTTGGGAGGCTGAGGTGAGTGGATTGCCTGAGCCCTTGGGTTCGAGA